GTTATCATCACTCTCATCATCAGCACTTGAGGAAGCATCACTATCCCAAGTGACCACATATGAACCACTCTTCTTCTTGAAGGTCATCTTGTCCTTCTTCTCTTTCTTTTACTTTTTGTCATTCTTGTTCTTCTTGTCATTATCTTTGTCGCTATTGTATGGACATTGAGCAAAAGATGATCTTTGCTTCCACAATTAAAGCACCTTTTTTACTCTTTCTTATTCTTGGATGAAGACTTCTTTCTTCTAGTACGGTAGCCCTTTTTCATCATGAACTTGCCAAATCTCTCGACAAAGAGAGCCATCTTTTCATCGTCATCATCATCATCCTATGAACCATCATCTTCACTTGATGTATCTTGCTTTGCCTTGCCCTTAAATGATGTGGTCTTGAATGCCACACTTTTCTTCTTGTCATCCTTTTTCTTATCTTTTTCTTCTTCTTTTCTTCCTTCTCATTATCATCTCTATGTGTCATCGGTCATTATATCTCCCAACACTTGGTTTGGTATCATGGTGTCCAAACCACTCCTCACTAGAATAGTGACCAATGTGACAAATCTTTAAGGCAAGCATCTCAAAAACTTGTGGGAGAAGTCTTTGTCCTTCACCTCTTCTCCAAGTGCTTTGAGATCATTGACAAGCTCTCGAAGCCTATGGAACATCTCCGGCACACTCTCATCCTCCTTCATCTTAAAGCTTGCAAACTTCTCTTTGAGAATATATGCCTTTGCACCCTTCACGGCTTGAGTGCCCTCAAATGATTCTTCCAATTTCTTCCATGACTTATGAGATCTCTCAATGTTCTTGATTTGCCCAAAAGTTCTCTCATCCAAAGCATCATGGATGGCACTCAGAGTAATGTCATTATTTTGGAGTAGCATTTCTTCGACGGCGGTGGGAGCCTCTTCATCTTCAATCTCAATCTTTGTCTCTACCACCTTCCAAACCTTCCTATTGATTGACTTGATATAAGTTGTCCTCTTAGCTTTCCAATAGGGATAATTTGAGCCATCAAATTGGGGTGGCTTCTTAGTGTTGTTGATTTGAGCCATTTTTACACCGAAGGTTGTTAAGCCTCAAATCACGGTGACCTCGGCTTCGATACCACTTGAAAGGTCCTAATGGCTAGAGGGGTGGTGAATAGCCTATTAAAAATTTCTACAACAACACTTAACAAACCGGTTAGACAATTATGAGACGAAGCAAGTATTGCGCTAGTCTACTAAAAATGTAAGCCACCTACCACAATTCTAGTTTCTATAGTTTCTTTTCACACAATGGCTAGGTCACTACACTAAGTTAGTATGCTCTCAAAGGCTAACTAAAGAGCCACACTAACCAAACTAACAAGCTCTCACAACTAGCTACGCTAAAGAGGTTAATAACTAGTTTACGGTATTGTAAAGAGAGTGAACAAGATGGTTATACCGCCGTGTCGAGGAAGGAGCCAATCAATCACAAGAATGAATACCAATGAAGACCAATCACCTCGAAATCAAATGATGACAATGATTTTTTACCGAGGTTCACTTGCCGGCAAGCTAGTCCTCGTTGTGACGATTCACTCACTTGGAGGTTCACGTGCTAATTGGCATCACACGTCAAACCTTCAATAGGATGCCGCACAACCAACACAAGATGAGGATCACATAAGCCACGAGCAATTCACTAGAGTATCTTTTGGCTCTCCGTCGGGGAAAGGTCAAGAACCCCTCACAATTACCACGATCGGAGCCGGAGACAATCACCAACCTCCGCTCGACGATCCTCGCTGCTCCAAGCCGTCTAGGTGGCGGCAACCACCAAGAGTAACAAGTGAATCCCACAGCGAAACACGAACACCAAGTGCCTCTAGATGTAAACACTCAAGCAATGCATTTGGATTCTCTCCCAATCTCACAAAGATGTTTAATCAATGATGGAGGCGAGTGGGAGGGCTTTGGCTAAGCTCACAAGGTTGCTATGTCAATGTAAATGGCCAAGAGAGTGAGCTAGAGCCGGCCATGGAACTTAAATAGAAGTCCCCATGAAATAGAGCCGTTGGCTCAATTATTGGACTAACTGCGCATCGACTGGACGCGCTGCTCGAGTGCACCGGACGCTGCACCGGGCGCGCTGTTCGTGAATACCAGACGCGTCCGGTAGGTCGACCGATGCGTCCGGTCGCTCCTAGACCGCCACGTGTCCAGTTCAAACCAATGTAGCCGTTTTTTCCCACACTTGCTGACGACCGGACGCACAGACCAAACGCTGAAATAAAAATGACCGGACGCAGAGTCGCATTGTCCGGCCAAGTCCAGAGAGTACCAGAGGCCTCAGCGTCCGGTCGACTCCAGTAAGCACCCACGGTCGACCGGACGCGTCTAGTCACTCCGGACCGGACGCTGCCAGCGTCCGATCAACTGTTTCACAGAACAATGACTTAGCTGATTCACACCAGACGCGTCCGGTCACTGTGTTTGTCGTTAATACCGGACGCGTCCGGTCACCATACCGGACGCGTCCGATCACTCTGTGACCAGCGCAACTAACTCCTTTTCAGCTCTATCTTCCTCACCCTTACACAAATGTGCCAACCACCAAGTGTATCACCTTGTGCACATATGTTAGCATATTTTCACAAACATTTTTAAGGGTGTTAGCACTCTACTAGATCCTAAATGTATATGCAATGAGTTATAGCATCTAGTGGCATTTTGATAACCGTATTTCGATACGAGTTTCACCCCTCTTAATAGTATGGTTATCGATCCTAAATGTGATCACACTCACTATGTGTCTCGATCACCAAAACAAAATAGCTCCTACCATTTATATCTTTGCCTTGAGCCTTTTGTTTTTCTCTTTCTTCTTTTCAAGTCCAAGCACTTGATCATCACCATGGTATCACCATCATCATGTCATGATCTTCATTTGCTTCACCACTTGGAATGTGCTACCTATCTTATGATCACTTGATAAACTAGGTTAGCACTTAGGGTTTCATTAATTCACCAAAAACAAATTAGAGCTTTCATAGGTATGATCTCGGCCTGCCAAGAGGGTGCACATTGGTTTCTTGGTATTTTGTTAATCACACCTTGGAGGGGGGTTCATGCTTATTGATGGGAAACCTTAGCGGCCCTAACTTGTTAGACGAACCTTTGAAAGACTTCATAGTGAATCCTGCCGACCTTCCTTGGTAGTGGGTCAAGAGGTTGGCCGCCTCGGGCGTATGGGTAAATCACGACTCACAGTGAAAGTGTACAACCTATGCAGAGTGTAAAACTGGTATCAGCTGTGCTCACGGTCACGAGCAGCCTTGGACCCTTATGGAATAGATGATGGACACTGATGATACTCATGATAAAGATGCTCACTAATGATTACTATTTATGCTATTCATTATTCATGTTTACCTGATCATGTATTTATATGGGCTTGTGATAAACTTGTTGCTACTTCTATACTAAAATTATGACAATTAAAAACTAATCGCAGTAAACCAGTGTCAGCCTTTTGAGCCTCATGAACCCCATGTTATATTTGTTGAGTACGACAAGTACTTACGCTTACTTTATTTTTTTTAGGTCTTTGGAAAAATCCCAGATGGGTACCATATTACTAGAGTTTTGAGGAATTAGGCTTATGATCAACCAGTCAGTTGTCCCTGTGGAATTGGAGTCTCCACCCGAAGTTCGAAGTTGTCTTTCCGCTGTTTGCTATCTAAGGTTATTTTCTTTATACTAACAGCTAGTTCGCTTGTTGGTTTCAGCCAGGGCTTATCAGTCATGGTACAATATTTTTCTCTCACAACAAAGCAACACCAGTCGGGCTTATCAGCCCAGAAACCAACCAACGAACAGGCTATAGGTACGTTATATATTGAGTATTGTTTATTGATATTACCCTTATTTGTAGCTATATGTGAAATTTGACTTTCTGGGCTCACATATGGTGTGTATCTGGTTTTGTTCTTAAAACCGGGTGCTGCAACCCAGTGCAGAGAGCTCCTGCTTTATGCGGGGTCTAGGGAAGGGTGTCAGTAGCAAGCCTTACCCTCGTCTGTGCAATGCGAGGAGACCGCGACTCGAACCCGGGACCTTACGGTCACAGGCGGTAAGACTCTACCACTTGCACCAGGCCCGCCCTTCTACGATGATCTAGAGTTAGTGGCTTTAATTTTTTTGATATGAGTTAATTAGAGCTAGTCTTCCTTTGGTGATTTGCTATTAGATGTATAATTAATCTATCTCTTTGTTTTTGAATTAGTCTGTTCCTGTAGTTTTCTTTATGTGCTTCATTGCTGTATGCAAAGTGTACCTTTCAAGGAAAAGATGCAATTATCAAACTAATTAAGAGTTTCAATCTCTAGGTTTTTTTTGAGTCAATGACATGTAGAATCATTTCAGATCTTTTGTTCAAATTGGTTTACATGCTAGCTTGTTAGTGTTTACCAGGTGAGTAATTAGATTGGAATATAGGTGAGGCTTGTCTGGCTATAGAGTGTAACAGGGATATTTGCTGTTACAAAATTGCTCTTGTCCATTATTCTTTCCAATTCAACTAACTAAGAATGCAACAACATATAGTTTGAAGAATTCTCTTGTAAGCATTTAAGTTTTACCTCCATTTTGAACTTAACTAATTTTGAAGGCCGTTTGAAAGATCTCTCGTAATGCCTAAGTTTCACCTCCATTTATTTTGGTTCTAGCTTGCCTATGTTTATCTGTTATTGTTCATAAGCTGTATCAATTCAGAACATGACAGGGTAAAATCCTGGAAGTTTCTGGTGTAAACAATAGTCCTTGTTTTGCAGTTGCCAAACCATTGGTCGCTGATGGAACATAAAAATCTCATGAGCTATCCCTTGCGTATGTGGAAGCATCGTTGCCTTTGCTTGATCCTCCTTTGGTTCTCCAGGAATTTGTCAATCATGGTAAACATTTATTTCTTCTCCTGTATGTATTTGTAAAAATATTTGATCTATGCTGAAACTGATATTGTTGTCTGTATAGGTGGGATCCTATTTAAGGTATATATTGTTGGTGAAACAATTCAGGTTGTCCGCAGGTTTTCACTTCCTGATGTCAACACATATGACTTGGGAAACAATGATGGCATCTTTCGATTCCCAAGAGTTTCCTGTGCTACAAATAATGCGGAAGATGCAGATGTTGACCCTTGTATTGCAGGTAATGCTTCTGTGCCGATTTAAAGTCTGCATTGGTTTAAGCTATTGCATTCTGCTTCACCTAATGATTGACCTCTATGATTTGCATTCTGCTTCACCTAATGATTGACCTCTATGATTTTTTTGTCCGTTAAAAATATTGTATTGAAGCTGTTCAGTCTCTTAGAAGAGGTGTGTACTTGTTAATTTCCCTGTTAATTATATGGTTTTAACTGATGACACTAATTTCTCTTGTGACAGAACTTCCTCCAAAGCCACTTCTAGAGAAACTTGGCAGGGAGCTTCGACGCCGACTGGTATGAGTAAATCTCATTCATATTAGCAATATGCAACTCTTGACATTGATTAGCTCACCTGACACTGTAAAATTTATCAGGGTCTTAGACTGTTTAACATAGATATGATTAGAGAACATGGAAGAAAGGATCGGTACTATGTCATTGACATCAACTATTTTCCTGGTAAGTTATTCTTTTCAAGATTGTTTGTTGCCTCTACTTCCCTCCTGTGTTTTTGTGCACACACAGGCTAATTATAATGGGAGCAGTTTGTGGAGTCTCTAGCTTTCTTCATGACTGCTCTCTTGTTAGATGAAATTTATTTCCCTTAAGTGTATGTCTCAGGTGTAAATGTTTATTTTGATAAGATTTATTGACATCATATAGCTATTATATAGTAGTAGCTGGGAATACTGCTATGGCTGCATTTGTATAAGACATGGTTGGATGGGTGGCCTAACCTTAGCCAGGCCAGCCAAGACCTGGTTACTCATGCAAAATGAGTATGTTTGGTGGTGGGTTGTTTTGTGGGCTGGCTGGGCATCTGTACAGGCAGTGGAGCCAGGGGTGGAGGCCCAAGTTGCACAAGCCGGGCCAGGCCCCCAATAAATGGTCAATTTTCTCATTCTGATAGAGCCAAGCTATCAGGTCTCTGTTGCACAACTCAAACCTGGCTTAGGGGCTGGCCCAGATAACCAAACATGCTGGCCTTGCATTGTTCTAGCCTGGGTAGCCCCCTTAGTATCCAACCCCACAGACCTGCAGTGGCCAGTGTGCCATGTTATGCACATGTTTAGCTACATATGTGCTTCTGGGTGAAATTTAAAGATACATTGGATAAAGTTGTACAGTTCAAGATCTGTTTCACAAATCTGTTGTTGCATAAGCTTGTTTACCATTTCAGAATTGCTCTCAAAGCATATATGTTGCAAAACAAAGCGCGATATTGTTACAGTGTCGTGTTTCCTGATTGTTATTGTTATGGCTTAAATTCTGCAGGATATGGCAAGATGCCAGGATATGAGCACATATTTTCTGACTTCCTGCTAAGCCTCGTGCAAAGCAAATACAAGAGGCATCTAAGTGGGAGCTGAAGCTTAGAGAAGATTTACTTTTGAGATGGAGGCTATTAACAGATGCCAGCCAGGCCATGTAACAGTGGCAACTAGATAGGTTTTCCAGTTTGTACATAGCAAGGGGATGGGTCTTAGCATGAACGAGGTGCCGAGGCCTTAACTGAAGCCACATACCAGAAATCCGGGAAAAATGCAGTATTTGGGCCGGGGCAGTATCTGAAGAAAGGTTCTGGCTCCGTGCCCAGCCTGTGTAAAATCGTTTAACTCAGTGCCCAACCTGTGTAAATCGTTTTACTGAGTGCCAACCTTGGCTTCTTTGCAACAAGGTGTTGTAGCTAGTCCGTACAGTTTTTGCTTTAATCTTTTGTTACCTGACTGATGCATCGTTCTTGACTCTTGATTGAGAGGTCAGCTAGTTTTGCATAGGACTCAAAACATCTGACAACTCAAAACTCATGCATCCAGTTAGCAATGTCCGCTGGTCCCCTTGAGACGTACAGCACTGCGTTGGTAACACTTTCCAGAAGCTTTTGGTATCACGCGTAAATTGACTTGTGAACAGAGAGAGGTCATCATTTAGCTTTCAGTCTTTTATTTACAACATACCAATGCAGCCAATGGTCTGCGACCTCTAATTCTTAGAACAGCTGACAGCAAACAAAAATCCTAGCATATGTTTAATACTTACTCCTTCAGTACGATGATCACCATCACTGTGAACTTTTATCCCTTCGTCACCTGTCACACAGATGTCAAACAAATGCTGTGGATGCCACCTACCGGAAAATCTATTTCTCTTCATCAGATCTTTTACAAAAGGTTGTAAAAACTTTAAAGGTTGTATAGTGACTGACAACTCATCGTTCGAGGGCACATATATAGATGGCCAACGGGCCGGCCCGGCCCGGCACAGCATGGGCCAGTCAAAAGCACGGCCCGGCGCTAACGTGCCTAAAAGGGCCACGGGCCTAGCCGACGGCCTAGGCATGGCCTGCTGGGCCGTTTTTCGGGCTGGGCCGGCTCGAAAAGCACGGCCAATCCAGCGTGTCAGGCCAGCACGAGGCCCACGAGAGAGGGAAGGGGAGAGCAGGAGGCAGGGCAGCCATGGGAGGGCGGCCGCGACGACGGCCGCCGCCTAGAGGCGAGATCCGGCTAGTGCGCTTCGCCTGGAGGTGGGGGCTGCTGAGGAGGCATGGAGGAGGCGGTCGCCGGTGTGCTTGAATCCACTGTCACGTTGCTCGAATCTGGCCATGGACGCCTTGCTGCATGGAGGAAGACAATTTGCGTCTGGGGGGGAGACTATGAGGTAACCGCCCGAAATAGCACACTTACGGAGGCACTCGTCTTCCACCAGACACTAAGCACCCCGAAAGTAAGCTACAGCGGGCGGTATCCGTCGGGCACAACCCAAGGGAGAACCCGAAAGATCCACATTTTTCCCAAGGATCCAATAATGAGAACGAGTTACAATACAAGTCCATTTCGTACATCAGAGTTTCTTAAAAAGTACATTATTACAATACCAAATGTTAGAGTGCGAAATGATAAACATCGGAATTTAAATAAACATCTAGCGATAGGAGCGAGAATTCCGTCTAAGCCCACTAGAAGAATCCTTCACACAAAGATACTTCTCATGCATCACCTGCAACAGGGGTAAATAAACCCTGAGTACACAATGTACTCGCAAGACTTATCGGACTAGTGGGAATAATTTTCGACTCCAAGTAATATGATAAGCTTTATGGTTTGCTGGTTTCTTTTTGGCAGAAAGCAATACTAATAGTGAGTCCTTATTTATGTATTATTAGCGGCCGTATTAAGTTATCATTTAGCCAGTCTATATAAGCACATGTTCTACTTTCAAGCAAGAGTTGAGCAATAAGTTCCACTTCTTCTCCTTTCTACTTTCAGTTCTTACTACGGTGCTAAACCGCAGACAAGCCGTATCGGATCGTCCGACGATTTGCGAATCAATGTGCCCAGCTGGGTGCCCCGAAAACACACGCCCCGCTTGTACCCCAAGCACAAGTAGGACTAACCCATCATTCTCCTGTCCTGGGTGTCCAGGTCCCCGTCCAAACTTGGACTCCAAGCCCCCACTCCTGAGTCCTAGACTCAGTGTGGTGCAAGGACCTCCACCATCTTCGCCTCCAATTAGTCGGTCCGGAAAGAGCCGGATCCGCGACAAGAGAGCAACAAGTCTTCCCTACGCGCATACCCAAGTATGAGCTCGGGACAATAAATCTGTAACTTGTCTAGAGTCATATGCAACAACCGGTCTTTAATCGACACGGACAGGGAAAAAGTGTAACCAAGTCATGCCCTGTTGGTCGCAGGACACAACCCCTTACACCCACCAGTACCCAAACCATATCCCTGCCCAGTCACCATTTTTCCTTTCCACCATTTTATCATGAGTGATCATATTTTATTACCTATTTGCGAGTAACGGCAGGTTACTCACGCTACCGATATCCTGAGTATAGCAGCTACTCGACCTGTACTAGTAGGACTCATGGGTAGATATATTTATGCATGTAGTTTTCATAAAATGCCTATAACTTAAATGCACATCACACACACATATATATATATATATTCAGTGATTATTAAAATAGGGGTTATGCACCGGGGCTTGCCTTGGACAGGCGACAGGTCAGCAAAGTCAGCACCAGCAAGGCTCCGGGGCTCCCTCCTGCACGAGGATCTCCTCATCGTACTCCTCGATCACCTCGTCGTACTCCGGCTCGCCGACGGGCACGAAGTCTACCAGCTCATGATCTATATGCATGAAATGACGATGCAATGCTTAGGAATATAACAACAACAACTCTTAAAATAATAGTACATTGATTTAACTACTAAGCTAGTGCTACCGACCATGGTGCTAAGCTATCTGATAACAAGTTTAAAATATGACATTCATTATTATTATAGCAACTATAGATATTCTTACTCCTAATGCTGATTTACGCTATATACGATAAAGCAAGGGTAATAACTACTTTATTTAGCAACTCGTTCTAAGGCTATAAAATTTACAGCAAGTACATAATATCCTAGTGAACCTACTGTAAAATTTTTAAAGCTAAAACTATTACCGATTTGCCACAAGAATTCCTACAACATTAAGCTAACTAATATTAAGTTTTTCTATTTTAACTTCACGAACCTAGCATCACAACAGCTATCTGTAATCTAAATACACTAACATGTAGATAGTATTTTTGTGAACCTAACAAACTTTGTTTTATTATTTTTGGACATCTACAAGATTACCACAAATTATCAAAGTTTAGCTTGAAAACTAAATTGAATAAGCATTTACATTTTACTAGAACTTGGAAAATCAAAATCCTACTACGCGGCCCAACCCGAGTGGCTCGGCCGAGCAAGGCGGGCGGGGTGCGTGCGCGAGCGGCCCTCACACGACCGGCCCAGGCGGGAGCGGCGGCGGCCCAACACGGGGCGGACAGCCCGATCATGCCGGGCGTCTTGCCACAAGCCTAGGCCGGGCATGCCCACGCGGCGCAGCACGGATCGCCCAGCGGCGGCGACGCTGCCGCCCAAAGACGACGAGTTGGCCCAGCGGTACACGGGCGTAGACGCAAGCGTAGCCGCAGCGAACCAAGCGAGGCAGCGGATAGGCCGGCCCACAGCGGGGGCGCGACGCTAGCGCAAGCGGCGCAGGCGGGAGCATAGACCGCGGCGCGAGCTGGCCCAGGTGAATAGAGTAGGCCACGGTGTATTTCAAATGTATTCACTGATTTATTTTCCTACACGAAAATGGCCCTAAAATGGGTGTGACGCAAGGATGACGTCAGGCTGATGTCAATAAGCTAATAACAACAGTACGCACCGCCGGCTGCTCTGCTTGCTCTGCTATGCTCGGGCGTGGTTTCGGTTCACGCCGGCTGCGGAGAGGATGCTATACGATGGTAGAGCTTCGAATGAGGTGAGCAGGGCGATAAGCAGCTAGAGGAGAGGCTAGCCGTGCAATGAATTGAAATGGCAAGCTTTGGTTGCGCGGCTTGTCGACGGTGCAGGCCACCCCGGTCTTATGGACCCGGTGGAGTGGCGATTTCCAATTGAGGCTCTGTGCGGCGGTATGTGCAGCGAGGTGGGGACGGTTGCGCGGCCAGCTACCCAGTGGAGCCGAGGATGCGACAAATTTGATTATAGTGCTGCGGTCACGGCGAATTGAAGGAAGGAGGTCCCGCCGGTCATAGCTACAACGAGGACAGGGGGTTCTAGCGCGGCATGGCTCAGCACAGCCGTGGTCGTCAACACAACGTACTCGTGCACATAACGACGGGAACAGCGAGGCGTGCTCCAGGCGGCTGTCCGCACGGCCGAACCCGCAAACCGACGAAGCTCGGTGATGCGGCACAGCAGACGACGCCGGACAAAGGAAACACTAGCGCAACATGACGACGAAGCGATGGTGGAGCAGGCGGTCGTCCCATGCGCGTGCAGCCACGGCGAGTCAACGGGACCAGTGCGGGGCACGGCGATGGGTGGCGTGTAGCGTGACCAGAGTACCGCGCGACGTGACGGCGAGGCAGAGCCGCCAGAGTCCGGACGCAGTGCGCTTGTGTGTGTGTGGTGAGTGCCGGCAGATATGACCACCCGTGCTATGGCGCGGGACCTGGTGTACTCCCGGCCAGAGCAGGGCAAGGCGTGGGCGGTGTTCGGACAAGCGCGTCAGCCGCGGCGATGTGAACCGCGCGCTAGCATGTAGCAGCCGGCAGCCGAGGCAGCAGCGCTAGGACCAAGCGTGTGACGGGCTAGCAAAGGACGGTAGTGCGAACGCGGCCGATGCTTCGACGCGTGCTGGGCGAGCCAGCAGCGATGCCAGGCCAAGCTGCAGCAGTGTGACCGCGGTCAGCGCTGGCTTTGTCCAAAGTAGGTGACGTGCACGGTTTTTAAAGCGGTCGCAAAACCCTATCCGAAGGTCCAAATACCAAACTACTTCTTCCATACTCCAGTGGGTACGTAGAGCTATCGACCTAAGC